AACACGGTGCACATGATTTTTCCTGAAGAAAGAAGTGGCTTTGTTTTCTTGGGTTTCCGGGAACTAGTATTTCACTATTCCAGTGATTGTTGTTTCATTTCAGGTGTCTCGTAGCAAATCCATGTTTCATGGCCTGTGACAATCCTTTTCAAAAAATCATTTTCTTGTATCACATAACGCTGCAAAATCTCCAAAGTTGCTCCCATGTTTTTCTGTTTTTTTATGTCCCTTAGTGTTTTCGGTACCCATTGAGAACACACTTTTTTGTAATGCAAATGTTCAGTCTCAGTTTCGTGTAATAAAAATCGTGAAATGTTTTGAAAATGCATTGACAAATCAGAAATGGATCACCTATTAAAACGAAATTTTTCGTCGATGCAGCTCACCAGTTCTTCGGAGATCAAAGATGGACGTCCCCTACGCTATTAGTCATGGACATTTAACTTTCTTCGTTAAGCATCCTAACCTACTTTCGCAGTATACCTTCACTCATTGCATTTTCACCGTAAGTTTCATCTGTCTGACGACAGAGAATTCTGGAGTTTACAGAGCAGCAGAGTATCATTATCCCAGAACAATACGGATTCAGGAAGAAGCATTCAAAGGCGCACCAGCTCTAACGGGTGACAGAAATGATCTCAGCAGGATTCCAGGACCGACAGATCACAGGTGGCTTATTCCTAGATGTAGCCAAAGCCTTCGATCGCGTCTGGCTCGAGGGTCTTATGTACAAACTCATCAGTCTGGGTTTCCCAGAGTATATCACATCCATCACACATTCCTATTTAAAGGAAAGACACTTTATCGTTCGTGTGAACAATACACTATCTACACCGCGGGGTATCAAGGCTGGAGTCCCGCAAGGAAGCCTCCGTGGGCGCGTCTGCTATAATATTTACACGAAAGATATCCCACAAACACCACACAACACCCTGGCTATGTACGCCGATGACACGGCAATTATTTCCAAAAACGCATCTCTGAGCTCAGTCACACAAACATTACAAAACCACGTCCATGCACTAGAGTCCTGGCTTACAGCCTGGAAAGTGAAGATAAATGTAGACAAGTCGGAAGCAGTCCTTTTGACCGAAAGGAGAAACCTGGACGACGACACTCGCATCCTTATGTATGATATTCTTATACAGTGAACTAGGCAGGCCCGATACCTAGGTGTTATTTTGGATAGGTCACTCACATGATCCCCACACGTAACACAGATTATTTCCAAGTTCCGTGTCCATAAAAGAACACTTACCCCTTAATTGACCGAAACTCTGTTCTATCTATTGACACCAAATTACTCATTTACTAGACTCTTTTGCGTCCCATTCTCACCTATGCCTGTCCTGTTTGAGGATATGCCAGTAAAACTCATATTGATAAATTGCAAATATTACAAAACATTGTACTCGGGCAAGCGGTGAATTGTCGTTGGTTCATTCGAAACTCGGTAACCCATCGTGAGCTTGAAATGCCAGAAATTCGCTATTACATTGAAAACTTGCAGATACGTTCTTTGACAAAATCCCAGATGTATGTAACAGCACCATTCCGGTGCTCTTCTACGACTACGATGCAGATACCAATCGCAAAAGGCCACTTGCGGTCCTCAGATACCTCAACATTTATACAGATACCTATGCATATGCATCTCATCTGTGTTTTTATGTAACTGGAAATATGCTAACTATGCCCTGTAATTCCTTTCCTCACCCCTCCTACATTATCTCTCACAAATCGTATCCTCTCATGTACGCCCTTAGCTGCTTGTATATATATGAGCATATATTTTGTAAATGTGTATATATTTTGTAAATATTTTTGTCTGTATATATTGTATGCAACTCCCTATTTTTTGTATTACTGTTGTGTTGAATTTTTATATCCATTCCCACTTCACGGTATCATGTTACTTGAGTATGTCATGCTCTCTACGCGCACTTACCTTCGCCTCAGGCTTGCACCGCAGGTATATTTTCGTCTGGACTCATTACGTGCTCACCCATACTGCGAACTGTTCTTCAGTTCGAGTTTTAACTTGTTATGTGCTTTTTAACTTGTTCTAACACTTATGGACTCGAAAATCGAAAATCACTAAGCCAAGTTAGCGATTAAACGCGGGCACCCTCTACTGCGAACGTTTTCGAGTTTGCCTGAACCGGCGATGAATTTCATTAAGTCAAACATTTCTTTCATTCAAAAACTATTAATAACGGCTCTTATTTCACAACTGGCAGGACGATCCATTGTAAGGACAAACAATGATTTCAAACCTTAACGTAAACAAACAAAATAGCTAGGCTAATTCGTTCTCGAGTTGAACGATGTAATTATTCATGCACGACCTTCGGACTATCAGATGAGCAGGAGATAATCACAAACGGTACTTACTCTTTGGATCATACAAAGCTTAGTACATTTGACAAAAATTAACCCTAATTTAAGTTTTATTTAATCTAATATTAAAGATGAAATTATTGTTCTTCTCTCAAACCTGTTGGAATTCGATATATATCACTAAAATTAATATTACGCTACTAATTGCTACTGAATATTCAGCAATGTAATATATAGTCAGTAACGAAACCACAAGCACATTTTAGAACGCAAGCACATTTTAGAACACTTTTGTAAGTAAGGTAACTGTAAGTTGCAAAGCAACAAAAGTAAAATTAGATGTATTTTCAATTTTATTTAAAACACCACCACACCAAAAGGTACGTCAGTGAAGTCTTTGTAGGCGACTCATATTCCTCTTTTCTTCAAGCAAGAGATGCGATAGCTATTTTCATTACCATTCATTTGATTTCTGTTCGACATTAAATCCAGAGGCAAGTGATTATTCCATTTGTTATTAACACATAATTTATTTACATATAAAATACATAATTTATTTACACATAATTTATTACATACATTATATTACAATGGTTGCAAGCATAATTATTAGGCTAACACCTTCACTGTTCCAAAACTGAAGTTAAGTTATCGAATAACTTCAGAGACAGAACGCTCGAAGCGCTACCTAACGGCGGGAGCAATGTACACAATGACAATATAAATGCTTATCTACGTAAACACTTCTATCCGCAAGGCAGATGATAATAAGGAAAAGCAAGCTGAGATGTCAAAGCAGTAAATGCTGAAAATTATCATTCGGTTGATTTGCTGGAGTTTACCAAAATATGAGTCCTAAAAGTCTGTAGGAAAATTCTGTATTTAAGCGAAGAATCGGGGAAAAAAGGCCTAAAAATTAAGGATTAAGGTCTATAAGATAATTCAGGATGCAAAAGAGCTAATTAACTAATGAACTAAACAAATAAAATTTCATTGAATTATAAATCAATTATTTAAGATACCGACGTGAATTCGGTTTGCTACTTTAAGATTTTAGAAATATCAATTTCAGAGTAATTTCCTAATCTATAGGTTGTTTCTTGATTTTTATACATAAATTTTATTTCAAGTAAATATATATTATAAGTACAGAAATGGCTTTTTATTGGAACATCTTCATTTTCTTTTTGTCAATGTATTCGCGGGCTGTAATATTCTGCCGGAGGATGTAAAGAATTTCAACTTTGCCACTTAAAATTAAAAAAGGATGTCAGGTTATAAACGTATTCAACTCGTAATAAAAATATCGTGAGATTAAGAAGTCGAAGCAGAAGTCTGTAACCTTTAATAAATAGTAAAAATATAAATTTCCAAACCTGTACTTTTAACGTTAAGAGCCTAAATATTTAAGCATGCGTGCGAAATTTATGATGAAACATTTCTCCTAGAAAGTAGATTTCCTACGAATGTGATATCCTATAATTCTGAGACGATTCAGTTGGTTATTACTGCTTAAGTCTGAAAATTCTCCATGAAAACGTTTAGAGTCTGAGGAAGCTTAAGATCAAGTGCGTTACTTCCTCCTGAATAAAAAAAACGTTTATGTATACAAAACAGAAAATTTTAGTGGATTCCGATAAATAACAATTTCTTTAATATATTGATTAATTTATGAAAAATTAAGTTTAATTTGAATTAAAATGTACTGTAGAGTCATTAGGTTAATTTGATGAAGAAGACATGGAAAATGAGCAATGCCCTCTTCGGGACTCGAGCCTCGACCTCTCGAATACGCCCGAGTGTGCTTCTAATTACATTATAAAGGCATGGGAAAGGGGGAAGAAAATATCTCATAGTAATTTTATAGGATGGCAGGTGCAATTTAAATTTCAATTTTGTAGCATATGCATTTTTGTATTAAAAATGTAACACCTTCTGATAAAATTAGCTGAAAATTATACTTTATTAAATTATAATACAATATGCAATTGTGGCCATATTTTCCGAAACCAATGAAACTGTAAACAAAATCAAATTCTATCGAACTTTTAATTTGCTAGTTTTTTATTTAACACTCAAAATGCTTTCAATTTAATTTTTTTTCTGAGAGAATAAATTTTCTTCGATTCGAGCAAATCTCTTTTAGGCTATAAGGTACTTTCTCTCTTCTTTCTGCATGCCTCCGTGGTGTAACGGTAGCACGGTCAGCGCGTATTCGGGAGGCCCACGTTCGAGCCCCGGCGAGGGCATTGCTCATTTTTCACGTCTTCAGCATAAAATAAAAAACCTAATGACTCTACAGTTGGGACGCGAACTAAAAGGTGGTAGTGATAATTCTTCACCACCAGGATTTGTAGATTGAGTCTCCTAATGCCCAGTAGCCAAACAGAAGTATATAAGGTATTTTCTCCCTTTTTCTGCAAGCCTTCGTGGTGTCACGGTAGTAAACTCGGTGCGTAATCGAGAGGTTCAGGTTCGAGTCCCGGCGAGAACATAGCTCCCTTTTCGTGTTTCCTACTTCAAAAATCTTAAATACTCTACAAGGCATTAAAAATATACTTTTCATAATAATAAGCAGGAAGTTTAAAATTTAATTAAAGTGACTAATTAGGAAGTTAAATGCTTTAAGTATGGCTTCATGTTTAAAATATCCTTTTTAGGAAGAATATGAAAAAGTCAATACAGAATACACCTTAAATGGTGTCTGTCAGTCTGAAGGTGTTGAAACGATGGAAGGTATGGGCGAAGAAGGAGCGTCGCAAATGAAAGACAAAATGCAACCACCCGGGCAAATGCCAGGCATGGGATAATGTTCAAATGTATTGATGCGACCGTGTATAAGTGAATTTTCTTTGGAAAAGATATGTCTGTGAATAAAGTTTCATTATTTCACTGACTTTAATTTTCGAATCACTGAATATTTTAAGACATCACATGAAAACTCTCGTGAGCACAAAACAATATATCACATGAACGGATTTCTGAAAAAAGCTGTAGGCAATTATTTTAATACTCAATAAATTCAGAATTATTTGTAAGATGAGGATTCGTACAAAAACATAAATGGTTAACAATAAAGTTCAATAGACAAACAAGGTTAGGCTTTTCCTATCGCTGATATCGCTTACTGACAAAGGTGGGAAAAACAAGACACAAATGAAGTAGCTGCTTTCGAGCAGACAAACAAGTCAGTGACGTCACACAACAAAAAATCTTGTAGTATATTAACTTTAGTTATTAATAAGATGGAGGAAACCTAAATACAGGTTGTTGAAAATGAGGTGGTTTTTCAAATACACAAAAGTTAGACTGGCCAAGTGGGACTGTTGATAGTCTTTTACTCTTTGTGTTATTCCTGAAATTATTTATAGTAGGCTTAAAATAATTCCAAACATAATAAAAAGTATTTAAAAATTAATCAAAAAGATTTGAAAGGATTCAAATTTTTACAGTCCCCCAAAAGTGCTGTTTATAAGTTTAAAATGGTTTATCGGTAGAGATTATTAATAGAGTTGGCCCTTATGGAATAGTGAAACATTTTATTGCATATTAGAGGATATACGTACATTTAGACTAGCATGAGAGCATTATATATCTTCTGTATAATGAAAAAGTTAAAAACTGAAAGTGCAAAACTCTATAACGTAATTCTATAAAAAATTGTGCGTTATTGATTAAATACATCATGAATTAAATGCATTTTTATCTTAAATCAATCAGATGAAAAAAGTAAAAAAAAAAAGTTCTTAAAAACTGCATATTTTGCTTCTGAATGTCTTAGTTTATCAAAGAATAACAAATAGATTAAAGTTGAAAGGTAAATACACATTTTCCCGAATAGAAACAGACATGAATCAAAAATTAAACAACTCATTAAAGTGAATGACGTAAAATCTTGTTTTGAGACAAACGCAGCCCTCTTGGGTTAAAAGAAACACACTGGTTATCATAAATTAAGAAAAAATCACAAAAATGACGTTTACTCAAAAGTTACAAGTAGAATTTAATGAAATTGATCCACAGTATACAACATACAGTAAGGTATAAAATAACATAAAAAGAAATTACCAGACAATTATAGTGTCATAGAAATTAGTATATGTATAAAATAAACAAATCGAATAGGTCAGTTTGATATAAGAAAATGACCTTAATGTGAAGTATGATTTCTCTAGAAGCAATAGAACACATACAGCGACGTGGGATGCTATCAATTATGTAGTCTATCAGTTCTGAGTTCTGTAGGAAGTGAGAGCCATTGCTCTTCCACAGCAGTTTCAAGGGTGGCAAAGGTCTGAAGAGGAGGATTGAGAGCAGCTATAAGTCTTCCTAAAGCCTCCCAAAGAAGTGCCGTAGGATTCAGGTCCGGTAATTGAGCTGGCCATTCTATGCGCTGCATTGTTTGCCGCTGAAGATAATCCACGATGTAAAAGCTCTGAGCAGTCTATCGTTGCTGTTGCGTAGCAGGAAATTATCACCGGCATCATAAGCATCAAGGATATCATCTCTATAGGTTGAGCATTTATGGTTCCACGCAGAAAGACATGGAGGCCTGTGCATCCACCTAAAGATATACCACCCAAAACACAGACACTGACTCCTCCTTATGCATTACTTTTTACGGGTGATTCATGGATGATAAGGGGTTCCAGGTTCTCTCCAAATGAAATAACGCCTGCTATCGCTTTGAAGGCTAATTTAAAGGCTAATCCTGCACTTATCCGTAAAGAGAATAGCCCTCCATTGATGAGCTGTTCCAGTCAGTACCTCCTATATACGAAGCCAAGCCTCTAGGGTTGCTTGAACGGTCTGACGTCATCTAAGTCGTCATTCCTACCATCTTCCTCGTGGCAAAGAATGAAAGAATATACTTCGGTGTCGTAGCGTAGTGAACTGACTGTTGTTTGAAAGTGTAGTGTGCTCTAATAGAACATTTTTCATTTAAATTACTTTATTTATTTTTTATTATGCCACATAAATGCTGTGTTGCAACATGCAAAGGAAATTATAAGAATGGCCCGAAGGTGGCTGTATTTAGTTTTCCTACGGAAGAACAACTGAGAAAACAATGGATTTGGAACTGCAAACGAAAAGATGGATTCAAGCCTACGAAACATTCAAAGGTAAAAGTAAACATGCATTTCATTTTTAAATTAGAAAATTCCTGAAAGATTAATGTCATTGAAAGAAACATGACTTGAAAATGCGAAAACAAAAAAATTTTCTCAATGCAAGGGAAATAATTTATCTAAAGTTCCATTGCATTCAACCATAGAAAATAAAACGAAGTTTTTTAATTACTCGATTCTATACAAGCATAGTTATATATTCAGTATTTACTAGGTCAGAAATTTCTTCTTATCCCATTATGAATGAGTATTATTAATGAATTCATTTAAGTAATTTATATTTTCCCCGGCGTCGGGATCTTTATAACACGCACATTGAGTTGATTGATTGATTAATCTTTCAGGAATTTATGTTATACAGAGCTTATACTGTCAATTTTAAAGTGATTATAAAATGGGACCCTTTTCTCAATAACTAGTCAATAGAAAATCCACCAACCTTATAAAGTTCATATTATAACTTTATTAGTAGATAAACATATAAAATGCTTCAAGTCGTAATTTTAAAGCCGTTAATTTAAAGTTGTTTTAGATATAAGTATTTAACTGTTTGGGTATACTATTTCTGTTTGATTTAGATAAGTCTCGTTTCCACCTATTTTATTTTATTTTTTTTTTCTTTTTAAAACTGAATGTATGCAATGCCCCTTTATTATATGCTAGGAGGCATTTGAGAATGCATTTTGCTCGTAACTCATGTGAACAGGAAATTAATGCTAATTATGCAATGTTCTAAACTTTATTAATTCTAAAATCCTTAAAAAAAATTATGAAATATATGTAAAAGAAAACAATCGTATAAATGGAACTAGTTTTGACAGTAATTATTTTAATTTCTGGAATAAGTTACAAGGTGTTTAAATTAAACTGTCTTGTTCAAATAATATTGCCTAAGATTGTAAGCTTACTAGTTTTCATTACATGTTAGCATAAATCCTAATTAGCCTATTAAATTGTTTCATGCACACACACACATCTATAAAAGTACGAGTTTCTTATGCCAATAACACCTAACCTTGTTACAGTGGTTCACTTGCTACTGGCAGTAAGTTCTTGTGGGCTATGAAATTTACATTAATTTCTTATCTAAAAACACTTATATAAGGGGTTTTGTTTATTTATACTTGTTGCAGTGGAATATGAAAATGTTTTCATTGTATTAATAAGTTATATAACTTTTAAAATTTTGAAAAAAGTTAAGGAAAATTATATGGAAAATAAGCAATCTAGTGAGCCTTCCACAGTAATATAATGTCAAACACGATTGATGATGATGTGAATATTTCACTCCAAAATTACATAAGAATAGCCTAAAATATTTTAATTACTGCAAATAAACTGTTAAATATACAAATTCTTGTTTTTTTCTTTGTGTATCATATTTTAGCACTTATACATGTTTCAATAATTCAAGAAAGCAATGAATTTTTTTAATGACTAATGATGTTTTATGCTCTTAAATATAAACATTCATAGGCACACAAGTAAATTTGTACTTCTGGTTGTGAACATATCAGTTTGTAAAAATGTTTAGAAAAAGAGCCAGTAACTTTATATTTGAATGGTAACGAATGAATGTGGTTAATCTTATTTCTTATCCATCAAACTGATGGTTAATCTTATTCTTTTTACCTAACTGTATTATCAACCTTTGAATTACTTGAATGTAATTCCATAACCAAGTGTTGTTTTCAAATAACTGAAGAAAGAAATATTTAGGATGTAGCAATTATATATACAGAGCAATTGTATGTTACCTGAGGATGTATCAATTAAATATTACTTATGTTATATGCATTTGACATATGACAAAACAAACATGTGCTAATTATTTGCACTTTCAAAACTTTATGATCAGCAATTCATGGCTCTTTTTAGCCCAAAAGAGTTTAATAGTTTTGTTTTAGATTTTGCATTATTCACTCTAAATGGCTGCATCACTTTTTTTGCGTTGTGCACTTTAAATGGCTATATCTCTTCAAATTGTTACCATCCAAACATTATCGCCCTGTATTATTTTTAAAGAAATTAAATGATGAACGTTTTCCACAACGGTAACCCTTCCCTTAAGCAGATAGCTCTTGAGTGCTTTGCCATGATTAAATAAAAATACAATAAAACCCTTATTAGACTGTGCATGTATTTAAAGGATGGCGAATGCTTACGATTTTATAATTGTTTAACATTTTGATACATGTTTATTTATTTGTTCTTTTTCATATTAAAAGGTGTGTGAACTTCACTTCAAGCAAGAGGATGTTCTGAGGCAAACTGAATTCTTTGATGAGAAAACTGGAAAGAAGATCATTATACCATTGTCATATCCTCGTTTAAAGAATGGTGCAATTCCAAGTCTGTTTCCTGATGGTCCGAGTCATCTTAGTTCCAGTGTTTCATCAAGGGAATCACCAGAGCATAAAAGACTCAAAAGAGAACAAGATGCACTCGAAAAAGCCTTATCCTGTAGCTTAGCTGAAAAGGAAGAGTATGAACGAAAACAAATGTTTTATAATTTAGATGAACTAAAAATTTGTTTTAATACTGTGAATTTATCAGATAACTGGATAGTTATACACAGGCCTATACATACTATGATTCTTAATATTTCTAATGACAATCATCCAAGAATTCTAAAATCATTATTGATTGATTGTAATTTGAATATATCTGTAGCAATTAGAAATATACCTATTAAATCACTGAAGCAATATGTAATCCCATCAAAAATTAACAACCTTAAAGATCTTTTAAGTATTTTAGAGAAATTA